TTTAGTGCAAAGACAGGACTTACGTTATCTAACAAGCAGTTAAGTAAATTGTATGAGAAAGTGTTGACTTTCAACCAGTCATCTTCTTTACCCACCCTGAAGGCCCCTCGTTCATGATTTAACAAACGTCTTCATCTCCCTTGCTGAACCCAGTTTTCCACAAGGGGTCCCTTGAGATGGTTAGTGCCCGCAACGGTTGTAACCGTAATACAATTGAATCCTCGATCACGCTATATAGGACACGCCACAACTTCCGCACCGGTGAAGATAGTATTCGTATACCATTGTCTGCTAGATTACTTGCTCTTCTCAAGCTATTATTTTTACTATTAACGTTCTAAAAACATCTGTTACCATCAGTAAAGCGCTGCAAGGTTGGGATGGTTGGAATAATTACGGAGCACAACGCAGCAACTCTGGCCCCTACTCTAGTCTCAGTGTGGCCGCCACAGGCCTTTTTTACGATAATCATATGGGCGGAGGCAGAAACCCACTGAAGCTTTCTATCGTTTACCACTTACCATATTGGGAGGAGTGAAACATCAATAAGGAATTTTGAATGGTCATGGCTTTTCACTCATTTCTCTGATCAACCGATTAACGTGGAATGTGTCTTCAGCGGAGATTAGATTTCAGCAGTAAGTATGGAATTTCAAGGAAGTAACCTCTTCAGGAGGGGGGGGGGGATGAAAGCCTTAACATCGATTTTGCCTATGTAAAGGGCAAATGTAGCGCAGGAGATTCAGAGCTTTTCGCTTCAGAAAGGAATGATAGATTATAGGAAGGCATTATTGGTCTTTTCACACATCCGAAAGCGATGTTGAAAAGTTTCTGACAAAAACTAACCTCGCCGGTCATGACTGGCTTGTCACTGATGGCCAGTGAACGTATTTCGTCTGCGTTTGTCACAGGCTCCCATTTGAAAGGTAGGTGTGAGGCGTTAGGGCTACTGAAACAAGTCATACCTACAGAAGTGCTGATATTTCTGGGCAATAATACTTTCAAAGGCTTTGTGATACTTACCCGGTCTTCACAAACTGCATGAAACTGCTGCTGATCATTTTGCTGATCTTTCGATCCTTTTTCGTCATCGGCAGTGGCGCAGAGAAATAGTTGCAGTCAAACAGATAGATGATCTCCGAACAGTGCGTTCCAGCTGGAATCGGATGTTTGGTTTGAGAACTACGCATCAAAGACCTTGAACACCTTGAGCGAAAGACTTACTCAAATAAGGCACCATCACAGCTAGCCATCCCCAGATGTTTCGACTAGTGTAGTCGAAACGATATGCATATGTGGATTTATCGTGCTGCTGGTTATACTCGAGATATTTGTAGCATCCATAGTTTGCAAATAGGTCCGATGATGTGCACTGAAAACGATAAGTTTCTGGGCGCAAAATCAAACCCTAGCTACAAACACTTTAAACGCTGAATATCACAATTGAGCTTCTGAAACTTATTGCGCAGGGATTTATAGGCCTTAAAAGGGACTCAAAAGTCTTCTGGGGGGGGGGGGGGGGGGGGGGGGGGGGGGGGGGGGGGGGGGGGGGGGGGGGGGGGGGGGGGGGGGGGGGGGGGGGGGGGGGGGGGGGGGGGGGGGGGGGGGGGGGGGGGGGGGGGGGGGGGGGGGGTGTTGGTTGGGGGGGGGGGGGGGGGACGTCATCGATTAATGGCAGCAGCTGCAGTCTTACTCCGTGCACACCAAGCCCAGCCCCACCCTCAGACCCTCAACCGCAGCTCTGACCAGAGCACAGTATCGTGATGTATGAAATGGAGGTGTAGGTACGACCTCCCCCAACTCGAGGGTGTCAGTACGACCCCCTACCCCTTGAATGAGGATTTTTTGTCTGTGTTTACCACCTCCGCCCTTTCCGCTTCCTACCTTACCTCATTTCCCAACATTTTTCGAAGTTTTTTGCACTCGCAAAGTTTTCCGTTGAGCATGGGGTGAACAGGAGGTGGAGGCGGAGTGCTGGTTATTGTAATATCAGCATGTAATGACCAGAAAAATCATAAAAAAGTCAAACAAATAGGAAGTATGATAATTTTTCTCAACCCAGCGAATTCTCTTATGCCAAAGCCATCATTACGAGCCCCCCCCCTTCCCGCCGCAACGACCTAAATATCTGACCCTCCTCCTCTCCAGTCCAAAAAGTACGACCTTCCGTCCCTATGTGTTCACACAACGGATGCTGTACTGCCCTAAACGCAGCTGGGGCACGTCAGGTGGAGTGATAGGCTCGGGCCAACTCGTTCTCTTCACAATCATTGGAAGCGGGCGAACGGCAACCATGGGACTGGCCGCTTGATGCTACCTCCCCTCTCCTAAAAGCCCCAGCAATAGCATCGAACAAGACGTTTCACTCACGGGTGCCTCGCCTGGCACAACCATCAGTCAACGTCAAAGTTCTCAAAGTTCACGAGGTTTCAATAATGTACAGGGGTACATTATTGAAATCCTCGTGACCGCTCCGGCACACTTCAGTACGAGAACAATTTTCCTTTGGCTGTGGAGGTAAATCGACACCGGGCTCTCTTTGGTTACGCCGGCCTTTGGCTTCTACAGAAAGACGTTGCGATGCGGTATCACAATACTGCTGGGTTATGTACAGCTTTTGCCTCAGCCGGGATATGAACCTGCAGATTGCGGTCCTTGAGGCTAGAATGTTGACCACTACAGAAACCAGTTCGATAAGCGGGAGTTTTTGATCAGAGAACTCACTGCGCCAGAATGTGTGCCAAAATCGCCTCGCATTTTCGCGATTGAGCTACCATCTTCATGTTCTTAGGGCTACCTACCGTTACATAGGCGTCCTGCATGGCTTTTCGGTCTTGGCGCAGTTTGTTGAAATCTCCGTAGACCCGTGAAATCACTTCCTTCACCTCGGCTGCGTTCAATTGAGTTTGGCGAGCGACTTCTTGAACGAGTTTGTTCATGTCCTTGCCGGTGCCTCTAATCGCTCCCAAAGCCACTAAACACTACCGTTTATTGTTCTCGAGAGTTCAAGGTTCAAAGATTGTCGGGCGGAGAAGAAAAACTCACTAAATAGCAACGATT